GAAAGTTTTAGAATACTTTAATTACTGGATACATATCTTTATACTTAAATAGAGTACTAATAGATAACACTTCTGCATATTTATTAGGTCTATAAAATATTTGATTGTTTTATTAATTATTTCGTATTATCAATTATCAATCCAAATAGTTAGTCTGATAACCGTTTTCAAACTTTTTAAACAATACCATAATATATATACGCATATGTATTCAAACGGTAACTAATATTTTTTATTTCATGCTTGGTAACACAGTGTTTTGAAAATTACTGTTTATGAATATCAAATAATTAGAAAATAGATGATTATTTATAAATATTTGAAAAATTTATAGATGTGTTCCATACCTTTTCACTCTATCCTGACGCAACCCATACCACTTATAATAATATATAGGTTTAAGATACTTATAAATATTAAATAGTTAATTACCTATTGCTTTATTACATTCAAAATATTTTATAATTACGTTTCTTTAAACAAATATATTTTTTGAATATTAAATTAAGAATATAACAATTGTTACATATTTATAAAAAAAAAAATAATTTATTTTGATAGAAATGATAATAAAATATAAATAGAAAATCAAAATTAAAATTTTGTTTAATAATAGCAAAAATCACTGATAATTTAACAAATGTATTTGTTTTTTTTTTTAGTTTGATAATAAATAATAAATTAATCATTTAAATTGTATACACTATTATGGGTAGGTATTTTAAATTCGTTTTATTATAAAATATGTAAGTTTTTCTATATACGCAGTAAAAGTCAAGACGTATAGAAAATAATATGCATATAACGCAATATGATGCATGATGCATTAAGTATATTAAACTTTATACTAGTTTATACTTTATACGCCGATATGGTAAACAATACAATATTGTAGGAGAGTTAGTAACAAAAAAGTTTTGGTCACTGTAGGACTTTTTTACCATATAATATATTTTATGATTGTTCGGTTCTACCAGTCGGATTACATTTGCTATATCATCAGTTTCAAATGGGCCGAGTTGTACTTGTACAACTCGTATTGCCGTATTGGTAAACACAACACGAAAGTAGACTGTAGACAAATATTATTTTACCCCTTATTCGCTTTTTTAGCTACATTAAAAGACAAAAAAGTAAATAATTTTAATAAGTAACATACATTTATAAATACAAAAAGCTATTGTAAATTATCTCTTTCATGTCTAAAACGTTCATAAAATTGATTCATTTCATTGTATAAATTTAACATAAATCTAAACGAATTAATAGGTAATAATATATATTAAGTATTAAATATATTATAAACATTGCACAATGTTGGAAGAAACACGTTATCCAATACAGATTCCTTCCAAATTATATGTTTAATATGATTTTTTACAACTATACGCTCATTTATTTTATTTTCATACAGAGGTTCTATATAAAACGATTAAACGAGTATAATATAATATTATATAGATACATATTGTCTTTTCACAACATATTATACAGTCCCGAAATTATTAATGACAAAAAATATAATTTTTATATTATGAGTTTGTATTAATATATTTATTGATCGTTTTCATTATTGTTACACTATCATAATAGGCAATGGTCATAATCATCATCGTCATCATTATATTTTTTTCGCCTCTATAGTTCTATGCTGTGATTTCCTTGACCAACACTCGTTACGCCCCTTGTATAGTCACGCGCACAGTTTGTACACCTTTATAATGCACGGTTTATAATTTCAATTATGGTCTCTACTATATTTTATTTCTGTTTCGATAATATCACACCTATTATTATGACAAAACGACAATATTGTTACGCATTTTTCATTTATTCTTTGCAGCCATATTATAAACTATCAAATATTAATCAAATCCCACCTGTATGGTACTTAAAGATTGTATATGTTACTGACAAAGACGTAGATTAAAGAATTATTGTTAATGACTAATCAATAACAATATACCTGATTACATTAAACTTTATACGATATTGACTACAAAATAACGTTAATTTCCATTATTTTCAGGCAATGATGCATTTAGTAACATTTCCAAGCTTCCAATTCATGTTCACAATTTATGATTTCTAACTTATAAATGATGTCCATAAAAAAGTATATACTCAACGTTTGCAAAAAACTCAAATATATATTTATTATTATTTATATTAGTACCCTTGCCGAGATGTTTCACGACATAAAAAAAAATAGTGGCAATAGTAACCAAACGTATAATGATTTTATGTCTAAAAATGTAGCATTTCATCATATAGAATTCCGATTTTGTACCTTATCGGATGCATGATACATCTATATTCTACATTTTAAGTACAGAATATACAATTTATATAATAGAGAACAATTTATTTGTATTACACATTCGCAAAAATTATATAACATATTATAGTAGATACGTATATATGATAGCCGGCATTTGTACAGCATCATTTTAAGTTTCTAATAAACTTTAAATATTTTGTTAAATAAAATAATCAACATTTTCAGTTAGTAAGCATTAAGTACAATTAATTTATTAAATCATTGATAGCAACATACATAAATATATATTTTATCTATATTTTAATCGACGTTCAAACCACTCGTAACCGATAAAACTATTGTACGACTTTCTGTAGACAATAACATTATTGACGCTCTATGTAATCTACATACGTATAATAATAAGTTAAACATTGTCCAGAAATAATATATTATACTTTGAACCCGTCACCGTTTCGCAGTTTGCCAGTGGAGTGAAAGTTTCGGGGAGAGAGAAAAGAATGCGCGTTGACGACGAAAAATTATAATTAGTTTTCTGAAATATTTCCATTTGCACTTTATTATTAACCCCCTTCTACTCACCGCTCAAGACATCGCTAAAGTCCATTCATTCACGGCTATATACATCCCCACCAATACTGCGTGTACGTTTCACGCCGATTCAATTAACTCGACGACGAAACGTCATAATCGGATTACCCCCGGCGCATTATCGTATACCCCATCTAGACACACATACACATAATAGATATTTTATATTAAATACGTAAAAATTTGTGTGTGTGTATGTGTGTGTGTGCGTTATAAGTTAAGGATGACGGGGAGGTTTTGCTGAAAAACACACGACGATGATAGTATAAAATCGAATTCCGCAGGGTGTGCTTCGATTAGCAGCAGTTCTCCGGCATCCTTCCACCCCCTTTCCACAGCCCCAACCATCAAAACCATCGCTCTGCCGCCGCCAATGAATTTCTAATAACTTGCCACTGGTGGTTATAGTGGATCAGTGGTGGAAGGGTAGATATTCGTGGAAATTATTGCCGTTTCACGCAGTGACGTTTATTATATATAACGACCGGCTGATTTAATCCGCGACACGGCTAACTGAGCTATACGTGACGTCGACAGTGGCAGTGACTGTCGTCGTATTATATTATTAATATCAATAAAATAAGCGAGCGCATATATTATAATATTATATGATACTATGATCCGTTTCGGTTTTTAAGTGCAACGGGACGAACAATAATCCCGACTATCGTAGCATCTAGCTACGACGATACGTCGGTGTTATGTGCACGTGTACACAAGTTCCATTTATTTATATGTTTCCGCCAATTATTTTGGAAGAAGTTCGATTTTTGTCAACTCGTTTTAGTAGGTATATCAATCGGGCTTAACATATTTAAGTTGCACGAAATGATAATATATTGTTAAAATTACCGTTAGTATCTATACTCAAGCAAATAAAATTCAATAGGTAATTATTTCGTTATTTCTGTAATTTTTATTTAATTTACCTTATATAGAATGAAGTATTTTTTTGTATTGCAATTTCATCATGATTCGTGATATTATATAAGTTTTTAACCGTTTATAGTTAAATTATAGTATAAATCCAGACAATCCAGTACTTTCCTAGTTTTACCACGTGTATTGGTGTATGACAACCATGCAGTTCACATTTCCAGTCTATTATAATTTATAAAATAAAAAAAAAAAGTTAATAGCAAGAACTTAAATAATTATTATCGTTGCAAGCGATAATAATGTTTACATTGTCAGTTATAAGTAGTTATTCCAAGTAAAATAATTTTTAATCAACCAATACATTATATACAATGGTAACTCATGATAGTGGGGTAAAATATTAATTTTAGATAAAACGATAGAAAAAAGGAATCAAAAACGTTTTTTAAATTAAACGATGCATGTTTATCAATACGTCATTGTTCATTGAAAGCTAAATAAAAAACCCTTCAACACTCCTCGAGTAGATATATGTTATATTATGCAGGGTGTTTACAATTTTGAACAATATTATACTTTAATAATGCCGTATAATAAATAATTAATAATAATCTATAGTTACTCATTTACAAGTGATTTAAGTAATAGCTAATAGGTAGTCTAAAGGTAAATTATGGAATTAAATGTGAAGTCAAATCAAATGGATATGTTTAATATATTCACTAAAACAATATGATAAACATATTGTTATATAATTAATTAATTACAAATAATAATCAATGTTTGTACTTATTTCCGTTTATCGCTAGACGTACATAAATTTAAATATAAATATTAAATCGGTTTTATTTTTATAATGAATTAAACGGTTTCCAATAGTTTTAGACATATAGGCACTTAATTTTATGCCATAGTCTTGTATAATATTATAACGTGGTTATTTTAAATTTGAATATAATAAAATCACATTTTATTTATACGAATACAATATGTACATGTATATTTTTATTGACTAAAATATTTGTCAGTACACTTTATATTTATAGTAATAATAATAAAATGAGAGTTTCTCTGGTTCCCCGAAGAAATACACTATACGTTATTCATATTGTGCAGAGTCAAAATATTCCTGTACCCATCACATTGTAATTCCATTATTTTTATCAAGTACCCCATTGTTAACTTGTGGGATGACAACACTCAACCTATGTATACATACAATAAACCACAATGTTTTTGTTTCGCGCAGGTCTGGTTCCAGAACCGACGAGCCAAGTGGCGAAAGACCGAAAAGTGTTGGGGAAGAAGCACAATTATGGCTGAATATGGACTTTATGGTGCTATGGTCAGACATTCTTTACCACTGCCGGAGACTATTCTGAAAAGTGCAAAGGAGAATGAATGTGTCGCGCCCTGGTTGCTCGGTAAGTACCTATTACCGTAATAACGTCTCCGTCACTCTTTTTCTCCCACTCTTTTATATTATTCTCATTATAACGTTCGGGAAATTGGTTGCTACGGAAACACTGAAATGAGCTTCATGAATTAGCACAATGTCCATTGTTAAGGATTCATTTCCCATCACAGTGCCATTGTTTTACCAACGTAATGGCCGATGAATTCTACTTCATGGCATGTACTTTACTTTCACGCCTTTAAATTCAAGTGCGATTATATTATTGTATTAATTCATCAACATATCACCACTCCATTAAACATGCAAATTCTATTATATCTCTACCAATGTTCAAATTTAAAAAACAAAAACCTCTAAATACCAAAATATAATGTATACTTGTACACAGAGAATACGTATTTATAATGCATTGATATCTTTTTCCCCTTTTAAAATGGTTGGTCTCGTTGTAACATAAAACTCGACGACGTATCAATAAAAGTTGTTAATAAATAGAAAATAACAAATTGCTTATTCTTTGATAGTTAAATATTTAATGTTTTTTTTTTTTTGATACTTCATAAAAATTGTTTAAACATATTCTAATCTAAGCCAATTACTATTTATACATATATGTTTGTTTAACAATTAAATTTTATTAAATTCAATTTAAATGTTTAAATTTCATTAATCTGTTACACCTATAAATAATACTTATTATGACATAAATAGTGAATTTTAACAGTTTTATAATAAGTATTTATGAATGTATTTAAAATTAGGAAATTACTTTTATTAAAAACGGAAAATTTCTTTTTTTTTTATCTAATTCAACTATGAACTAATCCAATATCAGTTTTAGTACACAACAAAACGGTTTGACTTTTAGGTAACGTTAGATTTATTATAAGAAAAACAAAAGAAATTCGCGCTCCAATGAAGTTACTGTAAATAATATACACAGACACGTGACGAACCTGCACGCGTCATAGAGAACGCAATACATTTTTAAGTTAAATTTTCAAATATTTATTTCTGACATCATAATAATAGAATAAATAGCCTTCTCCCACTCACATCTCTCCCACCATTTACAAATTTAAAAATAAATTTATTATCTTGAATGTTTTAGGCATGCACCGCAAGTCGATCGAGGCAGCAGACCAGTTGAAAGACGACAACACCGTGTGTAGCGGTGCCAGTCAAAAAAGCGACAAGGAGGAAGACGAGGAGGACGACGAGGACGACGAAGATGACGACGAGGAAAACCACCCCTGCAAGAGGCCGGCCAGGACCAGTCCGGAGATGGCGACCGACATGTCGCCGCAGCGGCACCAACAGCAGCAGCAACAACAACAAGACGCTGCAGTCGCGCAGGACCGACAGCAACAACAACAACAACAGCAACAACAGCAGCAGCAGCAGCAGCAACAACAGCAGCAACAACAGCAGCAGCAACAGTGCGCGGCCAACGCCGAAGCTCACCGGCGGATCCAGCAAGAGATACAGTCGCAAATGGAGCAGCATCACGCGGCCGTCATGCAGCTGGCCGCCAACCGGGCGCAAGACTCGGAAGAGTTCCGGAACAACAGTATCGCGTGCCTCAGGGCCAAGGCGCAGGAACACAGCGCCAAGATACTCAGCCTGTCGGCGGACGCGCTCATGTTGGTCAACAACAACGGCGGCGGGTTCCGGAGCCGGAACGCAGCCACCGCGGTGGCCGTGGCCGCGGCGGCTGCGGCGGCCGCCGACGTGGCCATGGTGTCCGGCGGCGGCCAGGTGCTGGCCGACTGCGATGCCAACGCCAACAACGTGAGAGGCGTGAACCACCATCAGCAACAGGCGGTCGGCTCCGACATAATGGTCACGTCTTCCGACACGTCGTCGTCGCTGTTCTAGCCGCCGTCGTGTTCACCGCAAAACCTATTATAATATTAATTATACATTATTGTATCATACATTATTATTATCGTGTACGTTATTATTAAATAAACATTAAAATTTAGAGTAGTCGCGTTTAATGCGGATAATAATAATAATAATAATAATAATATGCCGAAGCGCAATAACAGTTCGTAGGTCGCAGGGCATTCGATTAGCGGTTGACCTAACCGCGGTGTGTACCGGACGTCCGGTACTGGCTGGTATCACGACGACGGTGACCTACAAAGTTTTCACGGTGTACACTTACACGTGCCTAATTGCGCGTGAAAAAAAGTAAAAAACAAAATATTAATGGTTTTTTTTTTTTTTTTCATGCGATCAAATGTGTTATCCGCTCGTTTTAGTTTATTTTATATGAAAATACACAACGCAAACTCGTGTTTGATGATTTACGATTGGTCGTGTTGTATTCTCGTGGATAATAAATCGTATAAGAGGGGAATCCCTAAAATAGAAAGGTTAAACTGTTCTGACGTCTGATAAAAAAAAAAAAAAATTATGAAAAAACAAATAAATAGTCGTTCTGTTTTGTTAGTGATCAGCCGCTATACTATACTTGCGCGCGCATTCTTCGCGACGTTTTCATTTTTAGCACACTACTAATCACACGACGCGCCCGGAACGAGAATAGTTGCTGTAAACTCTGAGACATGATAATATTATTACGACATCTTTGTGTATATTTGACCAGTTCACTTTTCCGTTATTGGCAGATGATGAGTATTGATGCATATTATACTAATATACTGCTGAAAAACGACTATTCGGTACTTTTATTAGTTATCCGTGTGTTTACCTAAATTTAAACTAAACCCGGTAGATCACATACTATTGAATCAAAGAAAACCTGGTCGGTAAACTATTAATCCTTAAAGAGTATCGGTAGATCAACTGCTAAATGAATGCCCAATAGGTTGTAAGTTCGAAATAAATTTAAAAATCAATTCGGTATACTAGCTCGTATAATAAAAATTATTTATGATCAATGTGATATCGTCACGAACGCGCAATCAGACATTGGCCGTTTTTGTTTATGTTTTTAAATAATTCCAAAGTCGTTCGGCGGTTGGACGATACAATAATATTTCGATTGATCGTCGGCGACGAAGTAATTGCTGCGAATTCACAACGAACCGGTGGCGCACACATACGAAAATGATATAATCTGAGGGTATAACCGCTTACCGCCCGCGCAGTTTTCAGCATACATTTCTTACCCCCGTCAAACCCTTACAAACCAACAGCCACCGAAAGCCCATAATATCGTTGGCGCCATTGCAGTGAACAAAATATTGCCGTATCATGCGTCTTCGGGAACTTCTTGTCCAATTTTCACTTCGTTTCTCGGCATACAATATCGACAATAGCGTAGTAATAATTTTAAAACTTTTGTTTGATTGATTTTTTTTTTTTATCTCAAAACAACGAAACGAGTATAAAACGCTAAATTGTACATTATTTTACGATTAATCTGTTTCGCCAGGAGACGAAAGTAAAATCAAATGCCTTCACAATATCCGTTCTCTAAATTAATATTGTTGCGTAATCGTTTACATCACTGTCACCGTCGTCGTTCCCGAGTGTCCCTTACAGAATCGACACACACGTCAATAAAATTATTATCCTCTGCCGCCCGCTTATCATGCTCTCCTATAACAGTTGTCATATTACGATGTAAGCCCCTTTTATTATAATACGTTTAGTAAGAAGGAATAATTTTGTACATATATCGTGCACATATATTTGCGTACACGTAATCTGATGATTATTTTTTGTTATTTATTTTTTTCCTATCCTTCGACATTTCAGTAACGCTCTCGTTGCCCAGAGCGTGTTTATACATTCAATGACATACGATTGATGGGGTTCGGGAACGATGACGGGCTTAATCTTGACTTTTTTTTTATATTACTCTACCTGTTTTAAGCTTTTGGAAATTTCTGGTACGATTGAAGTATCGCAACAGAATATTTATTTACAAGTGGTAATTAAAAACGAATACTCTCTCCAAATCAATTGCAATACGCTATCATTTAATATTTTACATAATAAGACGACTGATATGCCGATTATGGATAATAAACTATGACATATAAAATGTAAATAACTACCTATTTGTTTTAAACCAATAATTCAGATTCAAAAAGTAAATTTAATACGCGAGACTTGAACCATTGTATTACTAACAATGGACGATGTGTGCATGTGTGCGTTGTAAGGAGTGGTATCTAATATCTATATCATATTATGGCTATCTCATATTCTCCAAAAAAAGAATCCCAAAATACGCCTTTGTCTGATCGCATTACGGATTCTCAAATATTACAATGATTGTTTATAACGGTTGCCAGATTTATTTCAGATTTCGGAATTATAATATTATTTTTTTTTATAAATATCCGATAATCGGTTTATAATAAGTGAAAACCATGTAAATATAATAATAAAATAGTATTTATCGACGTGTTTGTTCGCTATTATTGTCATTATTATTTAAAAATATTGGATAATACGATTATTTTTGTTTATATCTATCATATTATTAGGTATATTTTAATTATTATTAGCGATAATTTATGTACATACGCGCCGTCTATAATATTTGTATACATTTGTAAAGATAATTTATCGTGTGTTGTTATTTAAAATTTATATTTATTATACCCATACGTACGTGCAATAATTCGTAATTTTTTGTTTCTTTTTTTTACATTTTCTTGTATAAATCAATTTTTCTTAGCTTGAAAAACTACATTTTATTGCGCATTTTAGACAGTAAGAATATTATCTTAACTATGATTGTTACAATAAATTACCCATCCCGTACATCCTTTTTTTCATATACCCATAGTAAATAGATACTGACTATAGCATATTATTGTAATTTTCTACTTCGTTTTGATTTTTGTCCTTTTTTTTTTTTTTGATCTCATGTGTACTTTCATATTCATTTTTAGTACCGTTTATTATAGGAGAATGTTTTACGGTGAAAAAAATTGTAATATGTTTAATATATTCTGAATAGGACATTTTATATTTAAAGCTATAATACTACATTTTAGATTTATATTGTATTGATGCTAAACTACTGACATAAAAATTACGGATACTAATGTTTTAATCACTCATAATCATTTGAAATATAATTTGTTTGGTGAAAACGAGTATACTAATTATACATATTTTATGCATAAATAAACTATTGTACACTCATACAACTTACACGTCAATACGTCGTATGCGACTTGAACGAGTACGTTGTAAATCCTATCTATACCTATTAAAATATGTATTAAGCACTACTGTTGCAATACATTCCTATACACCACACTGATAATATTATATCGGATTAACAATAGTTTTTTGATTTTTTATACTTGCACGAAATGGAACCGCGGTTTCTACTTATCGCGTGATTATACGATGTGGATTGAATTTTACGAAATGGATACCTAAACAGTATATTTTATTTAGTGTCATCTACTTATCATAATGTTTTATACTTCGAAATATTAAGTAATGATACAATTTAGAAAATAAAGACGAATTTCGTTTTCCATAATTTAATTTATTTGATAGTTTTATTATTATTGCCAACTAAAAAATATATAATTTTTTTTTTTAATTTTTACTTTTTTAGATTAAAATCAGTTGTTTTAATAGTAAGTATATTATTAATATTATTATTATTTATTTAAACAAATTTATAAATTAATTTTTCGATAATAACATTTTAAACTAGTCTTAAAACATATTAAAAGACTGAATAGTCTGGAAAGTATTATATTTGCTACCTATTTGCTTGATATTTATTACAATATCAATTATCAATTAATAGTCTATACGTTGTGCATGAACGAGTTGTCAACAGTGCTGGATTTAGAACAAGTGCCGCTCTAGGTCCTTTTAAATATGCCGCCCCAACCCCAAGAAAAAAAAAGTAGTATTTATTTCTCAAATTCATGGATTTACTTCTATGTTTTTAAATATGTATATTGAAAATTATGCAGTTACATAAATGCGTAAAATATGTATATGATTTTTTTTTTTTCATTTCTTATAAAATTTACCGCTCCCAAAAATTTGGCGTAAATCCGGCCCTGGTTGTAAAGTTGAAGATAAGTTAGTTCCTGTTATGTATATATATAGTTTGAAGATACATACATTTTGCGAAATGTCATCCATATTCTATATTTTTTAGCTACGTTATGAGAAATAATTGCAATTCTATTTTGTATGATAAATACAAACATTATTCATTTCACAATCAGATAAAAACGCGATATTAATGGATTATATAATTCAAATGGCTAATGCATTATATAATCAATGTTATCATATAAACAATAAACATATTTTATAAAATAATAATAATGTCTGTATCTATAATTTCCAATTAAACATTGCTTGAAATAGACAATAAATTTCTTATCATATTGTAAGCTAAAATTATAGAGTTTTAGAAGCATACACGAATATCCGTCTATTTCTACAATGAGCATGTGAATAATATTTATGTGTTTTTACCAAGGCCCTTACTTAATATTTTCATTATGGGTGACACGCATTTTGGTGGACTTGTACCTAATGTACATCGATGAAGTCTTAAATAGCCAGTTCACATGAATAACATAGCACATACATAAAAATAAAGTAGTCGATCAACTCCAAACCACGTTAATAAATATTTATTTGTTAAATAAACTGCATAATCTAATTATATCAACCATAAAAAAATAGTTGGCTAGTGGGCAACGGTGTTAAGATATTAAATTACCTATATTTTATTCATTACCATATAGTACCGGTAGTTGAATTGACAACATAGAGTAAATTGTTTTAACACTTTGTGTTCTATTAGTTTAAGATTAATTTTATTATTGCTTATACTCCAAAATAATGCTGAAAATGTACAATGTAATCCATTCTTATCTTTAAATTAAGGTTATACTAGTAAATTGCATTTCAAGTTGAAATATTCAATACATATTTCTTTTAGTGGATTTTAAACTGGTTTTTAATAATATTTCAAATACTTTTTTATTTTTTTATGAATTAACCTAACCTTTAAGTAGTATTGCAAAATATTATATTATAACATTAAAAATATTTACTTAGCACACACATTTTGTGCGTTCTGAATAGTTGCATAAATGCATAATATACATAGATATAAAAATCGTTCCGCTAGAATCCATACTTCAATTAGTAAAATATATTAAATGTACAACTTAAAATTTTAATTTTTATAATTATTCATTTAAATTGCCTAGTTCAAACCCCTTAAAAGCGTATGTGTGATGTGTGAATGTCCAAAGAAAAATAGTGACCACCGAAATACGCTGTTCCCGATACGACAAATGACAATACCTGATAAAATACAATCATTAGAAATATTCTTATACAATTAATATTACAATATTTCTATGTAAAAAATAAAATAAAATATTTATAGTCTTATAGACGTATAATAATTCCAGTAAATGAGAATAATCTTTTAGTATCTTACAAGTACCTACCTATGTATTTTTTATCGTGTAATAATAAATAAGTTTGGTTGGAAATAATGATTGAAACAAAAAGTTTGTAAAACTTTAATTGATAGAAAAAAATTCTATTAAGGTCATTATGTTTTTACTTTTATATTCTGCCCTACTCAACTCCAAAAATATAATTTTATAATTGAAGATAATTTGAAGTAAGGGTTTATGATATACTTATTTAGCCTAATCATACTATGTGTTATAAATTACACAATTACTATTTTTATTTTAACATAATATTAAACATTAGTAGTTTTATTTATAATTGCTCATAATTATGATAGTAGTAATGTGGTATCGTGGGAATTTGAAAATCAATGTCAAGTCAATCATATTTCTATTAAAAAAAAAATGTTAACGTCATATTAATACTAAGTAAATTATATCAAAAACACAAAGTAAAGAATAATTATTAATAGGTATTAAAAATTTATATTTTTACTGTGACTATAGTTTATTTAATTTTCTGTAAACATCATAATATAAATATTAATGTTAGTTTTTTTTAACCAAAATTTTTATAACAATACATAATTTTATTATATGAAATAACTTCTTTAGATAGGTACCTACGGCAAAAATAGTTAAACACCAGTAAACATAATATTGCACAATAATACATTACTTTGAAATTCATAATTCAAAATTTTAATTCACAACTATATTGCTTATGATTACATAAAAGAAAGTGAATAATTATTTAATAGTTAACAGTTTGTAAAGCAAACTTTAGTATATTTCGACAGTACTGATTATTAAATATTTATGCAGGGTTACATAAAAACTATCGTTTTAATGAATGATTAGATTATATTTTAACTAATCGACTGTGTTGTATAAGATATTTGAAATTATTAATGGTTTATACTTTTATAGCAAGTGTATAATTTTTTTGATTTTGTTATTTGTAACAACTAATTACAATAATTGTATACAATTATCAATTTCTTTTTTCTATAGTTCCACAAATTGTTATCAGTCTTTGCCTTAGTTTTATCTTTTGTGTTAAAATATTTTTTTTTAAAGTAAAATTATGTATCATAGATCTATGGTTTATGTAAGAACATATATTCATGTAAAAGTTTTAAAGATAAAAAAAAAACCTAACCAATTGTTTATTAATAATAAATTATTATATTTATTGCATTAAAAGTGCCTATTGGATAAAAGTTAAAAATTTGAGTATGAACAACAAAAAAGTAGCATATTTTCTCAAAAATAAAGTAAATTAGCATTATGAGATTTTTTAAAATTTTTCTTAGTAATTTATGAAAAATCTTTATTGTATTAGATACTTAGTAATGCCTATTATTTTAATTGATTATACTGAGATTTATTTTAAATGCCAAAAAATTATCAATTTTTATAAGCTAATATTTATAATAATTATGTATAAGAAATAATTTTTTTTTTTTTAAAAATCAAAATTTAGCAAAAAATTATTTCAATTCTAGAAAAATAAACTACTGTTCATCTTTGGCCATTTATTATTACAATTTCTGTAATTTGAAAATAATTTTATATCACATAATTTATAACACCACTTTACACGGCATAATAATAATTAATGTATATTTTATAAAAACATTTTAATTTAATTTAAATAAACAATCAAATTGATAAGACATACGTTTAAAAACACATTAACATATCTAGTTTCATTAAAAAATGTTATGTTCAAAATTATACTTGTACAGTTATTTATACAAAGTATCATAGTACATTTCAACAAAAATATAAACAATTATTGCATATTTACAATAACACCAGTAAATAAATTTAGTAACAATTGGTTAAAAATTAAATGAAAATCTTTTATTCTATTATTTAATTTTCAAAGTATAAAAAAAACATCAACTTCAATTTTTGATTGCACTGAAAAATGCAAATTGTCCGTTATTAAAATAATATAATAAACAAGTGTAATTAAAATTTATGCTATATAAAAATCTATAAAGTATTTCTAAAAGTGATTTACATATTTTGTTCATTCTAATATATATATATATATATGATATTACCATTATTATAATTTACAATTTACAGATAAATAACTTAGTTTTAAAGAAAACATAATATAAAAGAAAAATTATACAAGATGAAGAAGAGTATTTGCAGGCCAAATAGGTTGAACTCGTAGTCATAAGAACATTTTTGGACACGACATAATGTATATCACAGAAAGTAGAACAAAATGCAAAAACTACTAGTTAATCATCTTTAATATAATCAAATAAACAATAAATACATAAAAAAACATTATTTAAATTTAAATTAATTTATTTTTTTCGAGTAACGTTTAATACTCTGTCCCTGCTGTGTTCCCTAGCTGGAGGTGAATGTCTGGATTTTCTACTGCGTTTAATTTTTGCCATACTATCTTCACTAAAAACATCTCCTGTTCTTAAAGCTGATATAAGATCGTCAAATTCTGCCTTGTCACCAGATTTACCATTTATAGAAACTTGACGACTACTAGATCCATTAGACAAAATACTAGCACCCTCTTTACAGTTTTTCCGATCAAGAGTTAATTTCTTTAACTATAAAATAAAGTTTGTATTAATTTTACATTCTTAATATATAATGTAACCCCTAGGTCTTTATTAATACAACACAAACCTCCACTTCTTGTCTTATCCTTTTTTCTTCTTCTTCACGTCTTTTTTTAACAGTGGAGTTATCTTGACGTGCTTCATAAAGAGCTGTTAAGAAAGAATCAAAAATTGCAAAGAAATCATCAGGTTGAATCGTAGAATTATCTTCTCCAAATAATCTGACTGCTCTATCAAACTGTAAAACAAAATATTTTAATGCAATTGACCAAAAATGTAACTATGATAAAAATTTTAATAGGTACTAACTCTAGTTTTCATATCTTGAAATAAGTCTTCTAACTCAGAAAATCTGCAGGTAGCAGTAGTTAAAAATTCTTTCATTACTGGTAGGAACATATCACCCGGTACAGCAGGTTGTACCCTTTGGAATTCAATTTCTCGTTCAACTTCTTTCAAATTATTTCTTAATTGTGACATGTCTTTTTCAAGTTCAGCCAAACTTACTTTTGAGGCCCCTCTTACATGAGGTAAGTCTTCTTCCAATAATAAAATGTCTTTGAACTATTAAAATAAGTAAATGAATAACTAACTAGAATTGCTGTCATTAAAATATAATTACATAAAATAAGCAATTTTTAATAATAAATGTATTCTGTGATAATAATATTATGATCCTATCATATTACAAAATGTTTATACACTACCTTCTTATCAGCCATATCAACAATGTAATGCAATAACGTTATACCTCTAACAGAACTTGACTTAGTGTCAGTAAGTCTGTTTAGAGATGATAAACGGAAACCCCATGCATTTCCTCTTGCTCCTTTGTTCATATAGTTTCCAAGTGCTAATACTAATTCTAATAATTTTCTTAAACGTCGAGAACGAGCTACTTCACGTGAAGCCTCCATAACAATTTTTGTTCTGCCTTCAACTTCTCCGGTCCAAGTAATAAATTTCTTTTTATAAACTAAACTACGAAGACGTTGGTCGTAATGTGCAATTCTAAAGGAAATAAAAAAAACATATTGTGTGATATTATATTCAATTTATGAAAGAATACGAACAAGCAAATTTAAGTTTTATGTGTGTGTAATAATTAGTGAGCTTCAGAAAAAACAAAGAATAATTTGAGATAAACATTTAAAAATAAAATTAATCAAAATATTTGACTGTATTATGAATTATGATATACCGAATAGGTACATATTTTTAAAACATAAATAAGGTGTAATTTTTTTTTTTTTTTTCATATTACTGGCTTAGAAATCATTAAAATATTTACTATTAGTTTTAAAGTTGTAAATAATATATTAAAATTTATAAGAAATCCCTTAGTTAGTATTTTCTTTTTCACTTTTCTTCAACTTGAAAAAATAACAATTATTTTTTCAAAGCATTGATGATCAACAATTAATGATTGGTAACAATTACATATGTATATAACTACATAAATATTATTAAAATGCAATCAGTATCACAAACGAAGATTATCAGCTTATGTATAAGAATATTTTTTGGTGGGAAAATTATTATCTACAACCAAATAAGAATTACACAAAAATATTTTTTTCAAACTTTTTAAGATAATTATTATTTGTTATTTTTTAAAAAAATAAGCAAATGTAAATTAAGATTATTTTTTAAAAAGAGAAGCCATACAATGATGACACTATCTATTTTTATTTTTTTTTTATTAGTTTAATATATGAAACTGAAATTATTTTATCATTTAGTAGATTGCAACACCGTCTTCATTACATTAAAAATATAAAAAAATTTAATTGAGGTCTATAATTTTACTTTGAGTTTTGTGGTATACTAGTTTTAAGTACATTAAAGTAATTGAGTATTTTTTTATGGCTTATCAAGAATCTATTTGTTAGGAATACAAAATGGGTGCTTTAAATACGAAACAAAAGTAAATAACTGTTAATCATCTTAATGTATACAATATAATATATTTTATTACGAACTTGGAAATTTCGTATAAAAATCTGTCAGCTCTGGCAAGACTGTCTAAATCAAAACTATGTTCTTCTAATAAAGCTGCTTCATCTGGACCGGGAGTGAATTTTAAAAGTTGTTCAACCATGTCTAATGGTAAAATGTCTTTAGTATCCATATCCATTATTACTCTAGCGATTTCTTCATCAGACATTTTCAATTTGGACAATAATATAGTACAATTTTGAGCTCGGCGACCATCAATAACAGATAATACTTTGGATTTATTATTACCAGTCTTTCTCAGATCTTCAGATGATCCTTCATTCTATAAAAATAAGTTAATTTATTAATATAGCTACTTTTTTTTTTTATTTTTTTATTAGTTAACATTATACTTACAGCAACTGTTGTGCCATTCGTCGGTTTTTGATTCTGATATGCACAAAATAGTTTATCAACTGCTTCAAGGTCAATAGATGAATACATTTTTCCTTCGTCAATATCAGCCCATATAGTTCCAGCCACTTTAGTTTCTGGTAACTTAGCCCAATTAAAGGATTTTAGAGGAGCAGATGGTTTTGGAATTTCTACAGATCTTTGTCTGACGACTAATTGAGGGAGACAACCAGGCGGAGGTGGAAGATTTAATGGAGGGATTTGTAGTGGTGGTGCTGGGGGTGGAGCAGGACCATTACTTTTAATTATTAATTGAGGTGGTGGTGGGGGTGGAATAGGCATAGGAGGTGGGCTAAAATTAACTTTAGCATCATCTGGTAAACTTCCATTATTAAGCATTGCTTCTAGCTTTCTCCTCTCCCCTTGCTCATAAGCTATCCTATGCTGTAATTCACTTGAAGTATCTTCAAGTTCAGATATCTTTTGTTTAGTTTCCAAGTGAATAGATATTTCTTTTTCCAAACGTTCTTTAATTCTTAAAATACTAGCTTCCATATCTTCCTAAAGAATACACAAAATTCATAAACATACTTAGTTGAATCTAGCTTAATAACTAAACCAAGTTATTTCTTTTTTAATCATTTAGACTAATTATAGGAATAGCAAAATCAATATTTTTGTTAGTCGGAATTCAAGAATTAATTTTTTTACCATTACTGGGAATTAACTTCCTAATTTATATTTTTATCACAATTACATCTTATAAAAAAAAATGTTTCAAATACAATTTATATTTACTTTTTCTTGATTTCTTAAGTCTAGTTCTTGTTCTTTTTTAGCAAGTGAAGCAGTAATATTAGTATTTTCTTTTTCAAGCTCTTCAGCTTTATTTTTTGCTTCAACAAGTTCTTCTTCTTTGGCCAAACTGCAACAAAATAATTATGCATAAATCCATAAAAAAAAAAAAAAAAACCACTTTTTTTCACTATTTAGTTACTTACAGTTGAATAATTTCTTTAACATTTATATTAATTGGTGATACATCATTATCAGCACCAGCATCCGTTTGAAGTGTTATTTGTTGTACAATTCGATCAAATAAAAGCCAATGTTGTGGTAGGCTTCCATACTCAACTACAATATCAATAGAAATAATATTTTAATAAAATAATAAATTATTATTAATCCATCACTTACGAGGCAATAACAAAAAATGCTGAAAAAGTGAAAGGAAGTGAGGATATGCTGGAGAATGACTCAATTTTCTGCGTAGTAAATCGAACATAGAAGTAGCGCTTTGAGTATCTACTTGCTCCTATGATTATTAGCAAATAAAACATACATTAAACATGTTACTTATTAAGTTTACAATAGATATACTACCTGTTCAAATTTCCTTGCTAATTCATTTTCATCTTCATTGCGAACCATATCAAAGAAATCCATATGTCTGTCTAATGTCTGATTCTCATGTTCTCTTAACTTAATAATAATATTCTTGAGTCCTAATTGTAAAAATTCATATCTCAAATGCAATCTGAATTCTAAGCTTTCTTGTCCTGGTCCATAACTTAAAACAGCATTTACAAATGACATAATAGCAGTTTTAACTGTCAAATCATCTCTATACACGCCAGTATTTCTATCCAAATCATTAATAATGCCTTGGAATCTGGCTCGTTCATGAGCGAATTCCCTATAGTCTGTCATTGCATCAAGAACTTTCTTATGGCCTCCTGGAACTAAGCAGGAAGCACCAAGAATTTCTAATACAGCAACTTTGGTACGGGGATTTTCAGTGAGTAAACTGCGAGCAATAGTACTAATAGCTGATGGATGTGCTAGTACATGAGATCTTCCAGTCTAAAATTATAGAATTAATCTATTAAGAATGTGTATAAATATGCAAATATTTATTTTTTACATAATGTACAACTACAATCTACTGGATTAACATCAATATTTTATAAATAAGAATAATACATATTATTTTTATGTTTAAAATGATTCTTTTATTATAACCTAGGGACATTTTAAAACATAATTTAAATGTTTTACAACTCAATGAATCAAGAGTGTAACTAATTTTGAAAATTTAAAATTTCTTTAGGTAAAAAAGATAGTTTATTTATAACAAAAGTATGTAAAATTAGGAAAAAACTAATCATTTAATGAAATAATAAATTAGTCATAATATGACTATCAATTTAGAGAAGGCTGCCAATCATAAACATAATAAAGTAATACAAATTTTTTTTTTTTAATGATAAACTTTAAAATGTAAAAAAAAAATGTTGAACTATAGCCCCAAGTTTAATAGTTTAATAGGCTTAATAGTTTTTTTTTTAAGTTTTGCTACTTTACGATAATAAATTACATTATCATTTTTTTTTTTTAAATTATTTTTATATTACTATTTGTTAAAATTTTATATATTTACACTTGAATAACTATATGATAAATGCAATTAAAACATACAAATTAGAACAATATATGAATATGGATTTAAATAAAAAAATCAAGCTATTGAAGCAATCAAAAATATTAAAAACTTATAATACCTTATTTTACTATTTAATTATATTTAACATATAATAATTCCAATTAAGTATATAGTTTACATTTTAAAATAAAAAGACATATAAATAAACTCACAGAGTTATTCATAAGGGCTTTGATACAGCCAATAATTGATGTGTGCATTGCTCCTTGTTGAGTATCATAGTTCATAGATGACAAAACTTCTAACAGAGTTACTAACCCATCAGCTTGGACAAATCTCAGTACAAAGCTATGAGGTTGAGTACGCAGAGCAGTCTTTAAGGAATCAAATAACTTGGTGTTCTCCTGCTCATCTCCATTCAACGATTGTATACGTTCAATGTAGTTTTCAGGAGATTGTGATAAATCTGTTGTATTTTCTTGATCCTAAAATCATTAATAATGTTAATTATTAAGTTAATGTTATCAACAAAATTTTAAATGTATATTTTTACCTCTAATATCTTTTTTTTACTACAGTAAATTTGCCATTTCTTTTCTTCTGGGAGTTCTAACATAGATGCTTTATTAGTAGCAGTTAAATCGAGTTCTTCCTATAATATAAATAATAACAAATAAATTATATAATATATATTTTGATATTTTGTCATAAATTAATGAATTGATTACTTAGAAGATTTTAATTATGTACCAATATGTATATTTATTTAATGTTATTTTAGTTATAATCAGATTTTACTACTTAAATGGTTTCAAACAAATAAATTATAGACTATTGTAGTCTAATATTTACGTTAATTATAAAAAAGCAAAATTAAAACCATAAAAATATTTGTGTAGAATAGTGAAAACCAGAACATTAAAAAAAAACCTGTCAAGTGGTTCGAATAGAGATTTATTCAATATTTCAATTGTTGAATGTAGGTAGTTTATCCTTAAAAATGGGAAACAACTCGGGATTTATTTTCTTAAAATACTATTAAGAAATTCAAAAAAAAACATATACTCATTGTATATAAGTTTAATTATTTATATCTTAAAGAGCTAACAATGAAGTACGTAGGTACAAACTAAAAAGCTGTTTTACTAATTCAAAATAGTATCAACGGAAAAACAAAAAAAACACCATGGTAGTCATTGTAACACCAATATCATGCATCTGATGTCCAAAGACCACGTATACCTTTATTTTTAGCTAATGGCAATAACGAACAATTGTATCAAGAGCCGAAAATATCTCTTATTTGTAGTCACGTTTTTGTGATTAGCAACGAAAATTTCCGTATTTATATTTTTAAATTAAGATCGGCACCTCGGACAACAAACTCAACAATACAATGTATATCTTTCAATAAGTAATAACACAAAATTACATAATACGAATATGATGGTTGTTAAATTGTGTGTGTGTGTGCGGTCAGTCAATATTTTATAGGTCATAAAAACTAATCCCAAAAGTTCTTTTTAGTAGGTAGTTAAGTAATTCCCTTGAGAATTTCTCATGCACTGTACAACAATGCCGCGAGTCGAATGCGACCGCACGACGAGTCGATGATGTCTGCGCGCATGTACGTATTATATAAGTGAAAATGTTTGTTGCGTAATATCGGAGACGATTTTTCATGCACGTCGTTCAAAAAAAAAAAGAAGAAAAATAAGAAAAAAATATTACAGCGACGATGGGGGACTGCAATGTAAAATCCACTGTTACTTTTATATACACATAACGTATATAATAAGTATAAGAAACATACCTAATTGGTGACAGATTTAGTGTCCGGGAAAAAATAGGCAGACGCCTAGAAGAGTACACATTTTAATTAAGTGAATGTGGTAGTATTTAGCGGTAATAAAACGTTGATAAGATACAGATTATCGATTATTTGTTTAGTTCAACAAAACACTCATGGTAAATACCATAATTTTATAAATACAAGGTATATAAACATAACTATACCAACATTCTTTATTTGAAATGGTGAGTTTTTTCTTTTTACTTAAAAAACCAAAAACAGTATAATTCTTCAATTGAAATATTCTAGTGAAAAAAAAAAATGCCAACTAAAATTTTGAAGCTACAAAACATCGACTATACAAATTAAAGTAAATGACTTTTTTTTTTTTAATACATGTACTTAAATGATTTATAAAAAAAATATATGCTCTTCACAAAAAAAAAAAAACGAACTTTAGAAACAGGTAGGTAGGTACCATACGTCACACTTCTATAATAGAAATTTAAAATAACGTCGTCCTGTTCGCGTTCTGCAAACAAATCGACTCAAGACGGCAGACAAGATTCTGATGTAGAATACAGCTATGTGTAAATTGTACATCATACTTAATATGAAATATAAATGGGTATTCTAATAATATATTATTATTATAAATTCGTAACACTCACAACCAATTCGGCGAATAGTCTGTCCAGTTCGGGTTTTTCGGGCATAGGTAGTGTGGGTGTCATCTTTTGCAACGTCAGAGTGCCCGAGTCGACCACAATATACGTGATCTCTGGCGGCTCATCGTCCTGAAAAAAAACACGTCATAATATAGTGTATTGCAATCATAATTAAGTATAATATACAAATTTAATGTGAATATTGTGTGTCGATAGTTTCTATTGTATAGTTGTTTACAATGTGTTACTACGTATTTAAATACATGTAATGATAACTATATAAAAATAATGATATAAAGTTTTTTTTTATTATAGCATTTACCACGGAGTATAACATTCTACGGCATTTATACTATAATAAATTATAATATAAACATATTTATATTATTATTTATTATTAACCAAAAAAAGATTTTATTCTCTTTGTGACGATGAAATAAATTTTAAACTTTTAATGATAGCAATATTGCTTAAAACTTATAAGTACACTGCAGGAGGGGTTACTCGTTTTCCAAACAGTTATACTCATTAGAACATTACCAATTTAAACTAATACGTGGTAAATCATATGTATTACCGTATTAACAATAAATTATTAATATGATATTAAATAATTTAAATATTATTTGAAATCAAATGTTCTAAAAGAAAATTGCACATTTCTCGATAATAATATAATAATACACTAATATATATTACTATTTTAATATATATGTATTTACGATAACAAACGTATTTACTCTAAGAAGATAAAATCACTTCAAGTGCATCAAAGTCATCATTATAAAATTAACGTGGCGCCGTCTCTGGATAAAAATCTGTAGAGGTTTTATAAATAATATCTTTTGATCACTTACTGTCAGACAGGTACGGATAGATGATACTATCCAATTTAATTAAAGCACCGTACGTGACGTATTATACAGATAGGCATAGAAAAATTAAGAATCGAAACATCTGTGATGAGTACTTCTTTCTACTTTCTAATTTTTCATGTGTAATCCTTTTATACACTTTTCATCGTCAGTAACGATCTTGAAACATGACAAGTTACGTAATTTGAACTTGATCGATGTTTTTATCATTGTACCATGAAGAGAAATACGATTTCAATAATAATAATAATAATAATAATAATAATAATAACAACAACCAACGACGGCAATACAATTCATATAAGTCGTAGTCCAAACACTCCAGATAACGAAAACTGTAGTAGAGTGGATCTTTATCGACTTACTATATTGTTGCATCGATGAAAATAAAAAATATATTATATATACGATCGCAGAGTACAATATTAAATAACTTTATTTATATCGCAACGTTATTTTGTACTTTTTATTTTCTATAATTTTACAATAATTATAATATCAATACTTTTATATATTTTCAAACACACACACACACACACACACACACATACGTGCAGCAACAAATGACAACATTGCTAGGTATACGAATAAACATTTATATAAACTTATATAAAATTGGAATGATAATAATAAATGAGTCATATTGGTGAAAGCATAATATTATAAATACTAACCGCTCTATCGATTAATCTAAAAGATTATACACGTTTGTAGCTCGAAGCTACCAATTACATTTGTTTTTTAACAAGGAAAATGCACTTGGGTTAGGTCAGCATGTTAATATTTAAAAATTCCACACTTTCAGCACAGTGGGTTGTCTTTCCAATAACCATAATCATCAGTCATAGAACAAAATCATTGAGTATTTAATTTGAGGTGGCTTATTAAAATATTTACTAGGTGCTTAACCAGGGGTCACGTGTTCTTATATTTTACACGATTGGCGAAATTGAGATTTACTAGTATTTAATTAATGAGTTTATGAACAATGGATAATCGAGAAATAACAACTTAAGGACTTTATTATTAAAATTTCTATGCCTCAGGTAATTCAAAAAAATGCTAAATATCCAATGTCAGAATAAATAAAATAATTGTTTATCAGTACTTGATTTTGTAACCACATTTTAACAACTATCGATGGATAACTAAAATATAAATTCAGCAGTGTAAAATAAACTAGATGCGTAAATAAGGGTATTTTTAATTGTCTAATTGATCCTATAATCGCAATTATAACTTGCGTACTTATCTTAAGATTTAATCATTATTTTTTTCCGTATCATTCCTACAAACTAATGGTCTTGATGACATTCCTCTCTGCTCATGCTACACTGAAGATTATTTATTTGTGATTTCACACACCTCTTTTAATATCTCGATTTCTTTACAATGTCGTTTCCATAACCATACTTAATTAATTAGCCTCGTTATTTAGCAATAGCGCATTTTTAATTTTCTTCTCTTATATTCATATTCTAATGTGTTGTTGTTAGTCCAACTCTCAGGCTAAGAGATAATTTCGTATATTAAATGTATCACACTAATATATTTCTGTTTTAGAACTGTATAAATAAATAGGTATAATAGTCGATTTTGTAATAAGATTAATAATAAACATTGAGAATTGAATAAATTGAAAAAAAAATATATAATAAATATTTATTGAGTAAGTTTTATTATAAACGACTTTCTTAAAAAAAAAACATAATTTCGAGTTTTAAGTTTTATACCAATAAACTTATTGCAAAAAGAGCAAAGCAGATAAATTGTAACTACTAAAAGTAACAAGAATTTAAACTTTAAAGCCAAATGTTTCTACAGGTTTTCAATTTATAATTTATTCTTGAATATCTATATTTTGTGATTATTTTTTTTTTTATTTGAAGTAAATTTATTTCAACATATTTTTAACGTTAACAATCTACGGTATACTAATAATTTTGTAACTCGAATCTGACGAGTGGTAACTTTACTAAGTAATGGCCAATACATAGTAATAAATTATGTAGTTGTTAAAAACATTAAATTATATGCGTTTTTAATGACAGCTACCTAGACATTTTCCAGGAGACTTAATCGTATAATCGATAAAATGGCATTCCGGCATTAATTGTGACTTGTAAAATATTGCAAATCTTTCTTTGTATTATAGGGGAAAAAAATTACTACGTCTGTTATCTTGTGCACTTGTTATCTCTAAGAATGCCTTTGCTATAATATATAATGCATGCGATTCCTCATTACACAATGTTGATAGGTATGATTTATCACAATAAGAATGTAGCGACGTACACATGGAAAACGTGAAACGTATAAATAAACGACGACACTAATGGAAGTATTCCTCGTACAGTAAATTATTTAGTGAAATTACAGCGCCCCACGTAAATTAAGGCTTGAAGTAATCTGGAAAAATAATTAACGACCAAAGACGTCAAAAATATTAATATTGTTTTAACCACAGAACTTCTAGTAGCTCGCCGCTAGTCACTATTTCTATAACTTCTATACATATTGTATAAAGTAATAACTCAAGGTTACAGACTAAGGGACTTCTCTATCACACTACCATATTATATCCAATTTATACTGTCCATATACAGAATATCTTGACTGTTTCTAATTAATCGCTATCTACCTCATTGTATCAGTCAGTATCTATAGCTATTTAAACAGTCGTTTGATTTGATATTTTAGAACTGTTAAGTTTATCGCATACATGCTTTCCTATAAGATTATCCAGTATTGAAAATATAAAGTGTTTACTTTAAAATTTAAATTATTAATAAGTTTAAAACACATTAAACAAAAAAAAAGATTGATTGTGAAAGATATTATCTTCTTTAAGTATACCTACTTATAAAAATGTATTGAGATACATTTCGAATCCTATCATATGAGATATTCTGTTTATATTTTAATCAAATTGCAAAATGTTTTATAATTCAACAAATCAGTTATTATTATTATTTTTACTGTTGATATGAATCCCAGAGGAATCTACACATCCCAAAAAAACAAGAAGTTGTCAATAAAATTAACTTTTTTTTTTAGTGTGGCGTTGAATTATATTATTGTTGTTGTTATTACGACGAATGCGACGTCATACTGCGATGTCAATTAAAATAATTTCCATTGCGGTTTCAATTGACACTGTGGTTTGTCCTTTCAACGGCTTACACAGACTTAGATAATTACGATGATAATATAATCCGCCCTTGACGACAAGCTCGGAACACGGAATTGTCACGGTGTTGTAGTAAGCGCCATGTACGAGTATACATAGCTACATAATGTTACAGCGCGCATTTAAAAGTATATGTTTAAACGATAAATAATGTTATCGTCCATAACCGTGTTGTAACATGATGCATATTTTAATACAGGTACCAACCTAGTAGTAGTGCAACGAATGTGTATTGTTTATAACAGCTCAAATAACTATATAAAATATGAAATTAATACAGTATTACAGAGGCTGCATTTACTACATACAATATATATTGAGTGATTATAATTATTAAATTATGTTGATATATACCTTGAGGCAGCCACACCAGCCCTTTCTTCCTCGTACGCTAGGCGTAGGCATCATTCCAGATAGTCTCTCCGCCAAACCCGCCATGGAGCGGGGCACAGTCTGAAACACAAATAAAAAAATAAAGTTTTCTGTTAAATATAATTATCACATAAGGATATTACATTATATGGTATATTATTTAAAATATAATATGTGCACCAGGAGAACCCTTCCTTCAACGACAACACCTTTTTTAAAATTATTATTACTATGAAAATAGTTTTTTTTATTTACAATTTATATTAAGTAATACAATTATTAACACTACTTCGATATGAAAAAATCGATTTTACAGCATACCTTTAATGTAAAGTCACCTAATAAGTACCCAGAGAATTAATGCTAATAAACATATTATAAATTTTAGTATAATAATTAATGTTTTTCTATTTCTAATAAATTCGATTTCTATGATATTATTGTATTAAACCTTATTTTTTAAAAGTTTGATTTGTAAAAGAAGTCATCGAAAACTTACGTATATAAAGATATTATAAGTTCATAATGCAGTTGGTTTTGTATATATATTATTTGAGTACTTATAACATTAAACAAAATAAACTACTTGATCTATTTTATTCTATTAATTGCAATCAATATTAGCTAACGTACTTACAGGATTATAAATTTGTGTACAAGAATGACGCTGTAATAAAGTAAAATCATGTAATCATCTAACTCGAATATACAGCTGTGGTTAATAATTACAAATGTTTTAAGTATACCTAATAATATTTCTTTACAATAATAAATTACAATCCACATTATTATACCTCATAATATGATAGTATGTACATTATATTACCATCGCCACCCATACTACGTATTACTCTATAGAATAAAAGTATTATTATTATAATGTTGTATGATTATAACGAATATATTATCATATATTTTGTTTAAACATAGATCAATAATTATAAATTATTATCATACTATAAGTATGCGCGAATAGCAGATATAGGGAGAGAGAGATAGCTGGCTAGAACTAGAGTAATTAGAATAATATAATTATAAGTACGAATATTATTATGTTATACCTACTTATAAGTTATAACATTATTTATGGTAAAATATTTTTAGAAACGAAATTTCATCGTTACCTATGTGCAAGTGTAATATTATGTTCATCCCCATTTTCTCTTAAATTACGCATTTATTCTAATTTTAATTGTTATAAGTTTTAAATATACGTATACTTATATAAACTATATTTTTAAATAGATAATTAGATTATTACATCACTTATTATTTAAAAAAAATAATTACCTTTTTTTTACTTGTTACTAAACTTTATGTACTTACTATTAAAAATAATAGCCGCCTGCACATAGCGGTTTAAAAAATACGGGGTATTGATGATTTGAAGATTATAAAATTAATATAAAATTTTTAATATAACTATTAAGACTCAAAATTTTATTTTTTTTATTTTATAGTACACAAAGTCTAATAACTAAAAAGACGTAATTATCAACATTTTAAACAGTAATCATATGTTTAATTATTAAAAAAAGAGTGGTTTTCATTTGTTTTAACACGACACAGAATACTTCTTATAAACAGTATAAAAAATATAAGTCTAGTCTTTAAATATTTAGTATACTTCGTAAATCACTGTAGGTATGTATACCTAATATATACTTTGGATGGAATTAAGGTGAGATTTAACATGTACCCGCTGCAATAATAATAATAGTACCAATGTACGTCTGTTGGCGAATCCTGAGTTAGATTTTGTAGAGGAAAATGCCTACATAAAACTTTTATTACAAATTTTAATAAGATGGACTATCCGTCGTATTAAAATTTAACGTTTAACTACAAAGATCTGGAAAATTTTTTACTATATTTCTCACTCCTAAAGGGTATAAAACTTGAGTGACTAATTCATATCGTAATTAAAATAATAAAAACAAATTAAGTAAAGATAAATGTTAATAGGTAGAGGGGTATTCAAATCCTCTCCTTCGGATTTGCCACCACGTATTTATGCCAAGTGTATAATTATATATACGGCGTTCGAACTGAATCTAAGTGCTTTCGGTTTTTGTACGCGCGCTAATCAAATTATATTATGTTCACAACAAGGTACAACTCTCATACCTCAATTATACCGCAGTCTACAGCTATATAATAAATATAACGTAGGTATATATATTATATACACATATTTTAATAGGTATAGTCCATCTGATTTCTCTATCATAGAGCGATTTATACATTATAGGAGATAAAAAACACCGTGAATAATATCAGTCGTTGTTTTTTTCTTCTTACTTTAATTTTTCTTCGGCCGTATAAATCACGCGTAGCATAAACGAATAAAAGTCGATCATCATCGTCGTCCTAGTCGTCGACTGTATCTATCATCTGTATGATATTAGACATGAACCATACGCCGGTTTTCACTTTCAAAGAATGTAGCCTTGCCGCCACGTACAGCAAGTACACATAATATTATACATGATATACAGCAACTGAACATTTAGATATACGCATTACACGTAGACGCGGGCATACTTGACATCCATCATCATCCCGACAAAAGTACAAAACGACAATATTCGTAAAAAAAAAAAAAAAGATTCAACAAAATGAAACCAATCAATTATAAATTGGTTGATGGGGTGGTGGGGAGGAGTCGAGATGTGGGTAACCTTGCGCGGACGATATTTTTCCGTCTTATTCACAGCGCGACCTATCGTTGGATACTATACATCTGCTACTACTATAATACCTATGAAGCTGCAATGAATCGAAACATTCAACTACAATTGACGGTGAAATAGATTAGGTTTTTTTTCTATAACATTAAACGATTAAATGCGCTCCGCACGTGATCGATAGACCGACCACGGGTAATCGCATACAGTACGCAAGTAATATGGTATACATACGGATATAATATAAATTTTTTACACTAGTTGCGGGTGGCCGCCGTTATTGACCTCCAGACGTAAAGCGGAAACACGTAGCGCCAAATTTGTTTATATAAATATATTATAATTATTATTACTATTTATACCTGGAAGTATATAATATGAAGGAATGTGAAAGTATAATATGAAGTCAAAACGCCCCGCAAGTTGATGCAACAAGTTTAATATAATATTATGTTTTCTAGCCAACTGTAACTGTGGTATAAAACATAATATTTGCATAACAGTAGGTATACCGTGTACCTACTCGTATTATATATTAGGCAGTATATAGGCACGTGACGTTTGACAAATTTACAGGGAAACCGAATACGCTTAAGTTTTACGCGTGTTTATGAGTTTACAACAACTATGTGTGTAATATAATAAATAATGAGCACAATATAATATATAAAATATTGTGTTAAGACGTATTTTCTGTGTGAGTAAATGGATATGCTGTGTAAGTGTGTATATATATTACACATCTATAATAAATAACGAAATAAAATCAGCAATCGGTATTTTATAGAACAAGAAACATTAAATTGTTTTTGTAACGCGTGAATATAATATTGGGTATCGAAAAACAAGATGTTGTGTTTATGTAATATATTCAGGAACTAAAGATAATATTATTATACAAGTCTCATCACAATAATTTTATTAGTAAAAATGTAATTTTTATAGTAATATTTTAAGATTTTAATTAATTTATAATACTGCAGGTAATTCTACTTGTATTTGTTTTTATTATTATTATTTTTTTCTAAACACTAAACAATTTATAAATTATCATTGATAATATACATAATATCTGCAGCTATGAAAATTTTATCAAAATCATATCCAATTATATATAAAAATAATAACACATATGCCAACAGGTTAGCGCATATTCAACTGTTTAATTTTTATTGTTTTGAACGATAATCAGCCGGACTATATTTGGAAGACCTGTACCAATATTTTGTATTGAATTTGAAAAATAATAAACATAATTTATTCATGCTACTGACCCACTTGGTGTAAACTATATTATTTATCAAACCAATACACGTGTGAACATACTTACTCATATAACACTATAGCACGTAGAGTTTTTGGAATTAAATGGGCCGGGTAGGTATTTAAAAAAAGCATGTCAAATCGTTAAAAGACTAAAATACTTGTCACGTATTTTTACAATTTACCAGGTCAATTGTTGATTTTGTACTTTTGACTTATATTTAGCTCGAACAATAAAAATAATATATTCTAAACGTTACAGGATAACGTCTAAAATATTAAGTATAATATATAACATTATGTTAGAAATATCCTCATTTAAGAAACTATATTACATTATCATACGCATACAGCATATGGCAGCAGCAGTACAGCTGTTATTGAAAGCAAACAGGACTATTAGAGAAATAGAAAATAAAAAATTATAGTTAAATTAATTATAACATTCATAACTGAATAAAACTAAGACTAACACTTATAATTGATTTATGATCATATCAATTTTTAAAATGTTTTAGGTATAAAATATTATGTTTGGTATAAATGTTAACATTTATCTTAAAAATTTGATTAATATAAAAAAAAATCTATGAATTCAAATTATTTTAAGTACTAGAGCGAGCAACAATAATATATCTAATTATTAATGATTTGATTATTTTCTTATCCCTCGTAAAACTATTATAGGTGTGAAAATAATATAAGTGTTTAAAATTGTGTACAATAAAAAATCCAGAAGCACTGTACATTACGTATATACGAAATTTTTAAGTAAAAAATCATTGAAAAAATCTTTTATCATATAAATCTAGGAAAATATGAAATAGATATTATTGATTCAAAATTGAATTCAAAAGGAAAATATCAATATTTTTATGATTTTCTAGATTAGTTATCTTGATTTGAAATTGTAATGCATTATGTAAGCTGTTATAGGAGTTATTGCCAATAACAATAATATATCTATATGTGGCTTACCTTGATTATTTAGCACAGCACGAATATTTTACAAGGGTTTTATACAATAAAACAGAGAATTATTTCCGTAAATTATATTTATTAAAGGAATTCAAAACTCAGAACATAAAATACACACGAACACACACACACACACACACACATACATATTTG